CCCGAGGCATTTACTGTCCTGTGATTAGTCGAGTTGTATTTTCTACTGTCAGTTTAAGTCATACATTCCCATTAACACGTGACACAGGCCCTTGAATCTTGTCTGCTGCTGTTTAGCCTAACGACTTCACTGGTTGGAAATTACTCGCGATCGATAAATTTTATCTTTATTGGTCTGTCGGGCATCAGATGAAATTTGACCGTCTCCTTGACTGGTTGCTCGTGGTATTCCAGAACAAACCGCTGGACCAACTGCAATCATCAATCAAATAACGTTTAGAACAGAGTGATGAAAAACTTTACAAGATCTGAAGAGGCCTTTCCTAAAACTACCATAGTGATCTTTCATGTGCAGGTTCAGCCTCGTGACGTCGGAGTAATCATTTCTTTCTCCTTATGTTCGAGTGGTACAATTGAATTTAAAGTAGGTGAAGCCAGCTTAGGTTTGAATGCTGCGTAACCTAAAATCTCAGTTCTGAGTCTAATGGAAACTACACTGTAGGTTATAGATTAACTATAAACAAAGGAAAAACCAAAGTGCTTTCTCCTGAATGCAGTCTGATTTTTCAAATTATAGTTTTGAGAGTTGTTGCATGGGACATGCAGGTGGTGCCAAGAAATAAGGGTGTGGCAAATGCATACACTTTAATAGTAGGCTGTGTTGTTTTTATCAACTACGAAACAGCCAATCTGGTCTTCCTAAAAATAACGATTTGCTTCGCTAAATGACTTAAATTACCTTTGCCGTTAACAGGTAAATCTCTGCTTCAGCTATACGGCGACCTGAAGAAAATAAGGCACAAGTTCAGTATCAAAGAAATTTGTGCAAAAATTATTAAACTCTCCAGAGCTCTTAGGCAACTTGTTTCAGTGTTCTTTGATTTAGTGGATGTACATGTTGCGCTTTTAGTTTCTTGCTAGAGAGCAGTGAAATATCTATTTTTAAATATTTTATCTTTTAACTCCTTTTGTCTAATAGTTTCCCTTCTAATGAGCCACCTCCAAGTATATATATGAATCAAGCCCTTTGCACTAATTAAGACGTTCTGGATAGAGGTTCCTGGAATCTCAGGGCGCTCTTCATATGATGCAAATTCTAAATTTTGGCAAATAAATACAAATTTTAAATTTTTCGGAAGTTCGAGTGATGAATGGAGCAGCACTTTCCAGAATTTCTGGAAAAGGGGGCAACCTGGAATTTTCAGAAAATTCCATTCCATTTGACTCTCTTTTTGAATTTCCGGAATTTCCGGTTTAATGGTTCGCTTTTCAGAAATTCAACAACTTTCAGATTTACTGGAAAATTTCCCACGAAATGTTTATTCTATTAGTCCCTGCCTTAGCTACAATTGTGCTCCAACCCCCCCCCCCAACCCGCTCCCCACCACGCCTAAAAAAACCAACAGAAACAAAACGTAATAAAAGATAAGAATTTCCCCATATCAATCTGTCAACCACTTTCAGATTTCAACAGGGGAACAGCTCGCTCACCGATGCACATGCGTGTTCCGACTCCGAATGGAATACTGGCAAATGGATGGATCTTTCCCAAGTCATCATTAAGCCAACGTTCAGGTCTAAACTCCAAAGGGAATTTAAATAACTTCTCTGAGCGTCCTGACAGGTAATTGGAATACATTACAATCGTCTGCAGTAAAAGATAATTGAGATCATGATGAGTTGTTGACTGATTGAAAGATTAATTGATTGAAGTCGATAGATGCTAGTAAGTTATTTAATGGTTTGTGGAAGCATTCCATGTAACATCCCGCGAGCAACTATGATTTTCTTTTTTATCAGCGGGGAATCTCTGCTTACAACATTTGTTTCATTAACATGAACGCATACAGTTGGTGATGGGGCTCCAAAAATATCAACCCTGAACACATTGCAAGGCATGGTACGATTAGCAAGCCATGAAACTCCTCTGGGCTCTGGAAGCTGCAAGTCCTTTTCAGTTGTCATATGAAAGAAACCTTCCAAACGCTTAGCAGATTTGCGTATGCATTGAATGGAATAGCCGACGTACTTGGCAAGGTGTGTCAAAGCTTACCAAGGCTTCATATTGATTAAGGGCACATGTTTTAGCGTTAAATTTGAAGGACCCGAGCAATGCTCACAAGCAAGCTATTGACTCACTGAGGCAGTTATCAATGGAATGGTTTCTTAACAGGCAAAATTATCACCAAAAATGGCAGATCTGTCAAAGTAACTGTTTACCATATTTTGCTGTGACAATTTCCCTAATCGGGGGCCAAGCTAATCGGAGTTCGCATAATCTTGTTCCTGGAGTTGGACGAATTCGTCCAGTTTGTCTACGATAATTTTTAGGCGAATCATGCCCAATTGAGCAAACCATCGGCTGGAGCACTCACCCCTGACGGAACCTTGTAACCGGACAGCACGACATCTTGGGTCAGGCGGCGTTCCCAACGGATTGCTGGATGCAACCTGGTTGGAGAAAACAAACACGTGATTACCACGTAGCATCCGTAAGCTACTGATTGTGTAAGCAGTGGGATTTACTAGCACTCAAATGCAGAAGGTCGAGTACAGTAAACTCATCATTACACCAACGGCTCAATTGATAATTTCACTTATTACCTCATACTTTCCTTGACACAAGCCTTTAGATAATCCAATTTTGCAAAGGTGTCCGGGGTGAAGTCTCCATGGGGCCCAATCAGGGAGGTAACTTCTTCATACACTTTCTCTTGCACCGCAGGATAACGCGCCAAATCGTAAAGAAGAAATAGCAAACTTGTGGATGTCTTTGAAAGCAAAAATCATTACAAACGTTGTTAAAACAAAGAAAGTTTGGGCACAAAGAACGTTGCAGGTTACAGGTCGTTATTTTGATTGTTTATTAGTATGCCTATCGTTCGAGCTAAATAAGTAATGAAAAACGAAATTCGGAAAATTAAAAATTAGCCGTCGTTGTCCACGTTCTCCAAACTACGTAGAACTCTGTAATTTCACGTTGTTGTTTTGTAGAGGACGTCTAAAAAAGGTACCAAGATTTATAACAGCATGTGCACAGCCATTGCTCTGCTCATTTAAAAGATCTTTATTTTTTGGCGACGTGCATAGTCATTATTCTACTTATTTAAAAACACTTTGGGTAGGCGACGTTCTCGTTGCCGTGTCCGTGTCCGTTTGCGACGTTAAGTGTGTAATGACTGGGATGGGATAACCACCAGGATAGGATAAGGGCAAAGGAAGTCTATCCTCCTTGTAGGCAATTTTCCCAGAGTTATCACAGCTCAAGTTTCTTTAAGATATGTTACCGAGTTCTTTCACGGGTAATGTTACCACGCGCGTAACGCGTGGATGTTCTCGTGGAGGGTGAAAATGCGTGTAAAGCCGCTTAGATTCTGCATGTGAGCAAAATCCGCGTCAGAGAAATGGCTTGTTTCCAGACCCTTCTGGGATTTCCGACACTTGACAGGGATTACCTTGACAGTGAAGTACAAGTTATGAACGAACAAGTACAAATATTTTGACGGTATTTACCGTTTCCACTCCTGCTCTAAACATAAAAATGGAATTGACGTTAATCTCCTGTGGTGTGAGTTCTCCTTTTAGGATGAGGTACGTCAACAGAGGTACAGCTGCAGTGCAAGAAGATATAAACGATCCTAAGATCAAAGCTAGGGAGATATTCGAGTACTCCGTAGTCTGAAATTCGTCTCCTAAACCTTTGCTTTATAATCAGTTCATGGGCAGGGTCAGGTTCCCTGCTTTCTTGCATTTTTGTTTCGTTCTCTTGGAACACCCCTTTCCATAAGATATCGCATTACTTATTATTATGTGAACTTTTGCATTTGAGTATTGTGTTGCATCGACCTCACTGATGATAAGACAAGATAGGGTTAGTTCGATCCCTTAAAGCATGAACAGTCAACTGGAATACATTTGGTGGATTAAATTAAAGAAAGCGATTTCCGTTAACATTGGAGAAGCGGATCAGGGCTGGGTTGTTCAAAAGCCGGTTAATGCTAACCCAGGATTAAAAGTTAACCAAAGTATAACTTTTTCTTGTAGAAAAATGTTTTTTTCTGCTTATGTTTTGTGTAGTCTGAGATTGTTAAACTCAAAACTGAAGGACAAACAGCATAAACAGAAAACCTCACCGCAAAGTTACAAAAGTCAAATCAAAATTCTCGCTAATCCTGGGTTACCTTAATCGTCCTTTGAACAACCCGGCTATGAGTTATTTAATCCTTTAACATTCTTGTCATTCTGATCTGTTGCGCTTTATTTCGTCCTTGTTCACACTAACGCATCTCCACTCTAACGTGCCATGATTTTGATACGATGAGACCTGCCATCCTCACGCTCGCTACAATGAATACAAAAGCTATTTTTCTGTTTTAGTGTGGACGGCAAACACGATGCTGACGTCAAGATGATCACGTGATCTTAGACCAGTCACTCACAGCCATTGATCAAGTAGAACACTGCGCATCGTTTTCCTCGTTTTAGCGTAGAAAACATGAAAAACGGTACTGAGGATGGAAAACGTTTGAGGCGTCTTTGATTCGAAGAATCTGATTTCGAATATAAATGGCGGATTGATATGGTCAAGTCTTTAGCAACTATATGCATACATTAGATAAAATAGATAAACTCAACTAAAATGTCAAGAGAAAAGGGTATACCTATACTACTTTACAACAAACATAATTACATTTAAAGACTTTCCAAAAATAATATGCAAGGGATTAAAAGCAAAAAATATTATTGTAAGACACTTCTCTTGATAATTTACCTTGATTCTCAACAAATTCGTCACCCTCTTCTGTGAATTTTTTCAAATCAGCAACCTTCTTGTCCACAATCTTTTGACCAATGCTAAACAAGGTGTCTTGCGTTTTACAGAATTTTCTGTAGGACGGCGTTGTCACGAATCTGTAAAGTTGGCTTTCCCATCCTCTATTCAAATATCCAAGGTATTTGAAACCGTCAAAAGTAGCTTGAATGACCTTGATTATATCCTGGTTGGGNGCGATTTCCGTTAACATTGGAGAAGCGGATCAGGGCTGGGTTGTTCAAAAGCCGGGTAATGCTAACCCAGGATTAAAAGTTAACCAAAGTATAACTTTTTCTTGTAGAAAAATGTTTTTTCTGCTTATGTTTTGTGTAGTCTGAGATTGTTAAACTCAAAACTGAAGGACAAACAGCATAATCAGAAAACCTCACCGCAAAGTTACAAATGTCAAATCAAAATTCTCGCTAATCCTGGGTTACCTTAATCATCCTTTGAACAACCCGGCTATGAGTTATTTAATCTTTTAACATTCTTGTCATTCTGATCAGTTGCGCTTTATTTCGTCCTTGTTCACACTAACGCATCTCCACTCTAACGTGCCATGATTTTGATACGATGAGACCTGCCATCCTCACGCTCGCTACAATGAATACAAAAGCTATTTTTCTGTTTTAGTGTGGACGGCAAACACGATGCTGACGTCAAGATGATCACGTGATCTTAGACCAGTCACTCACAGCCATTGATCAAGTAGAACACTGCGCATCGTTTTCCTCGTTTTAGCGTAGAAAACATGAAAAACGGTACTGAGGATGGAAAACGTTTGAGGCGTCTTTGATTCGAAGAATCTGATTTCGAATATAAATGGCGGATTGATATGGTCAAGTCTTTAGCAACTATATGCATACATTAGATAAAATAGATAAACTCAACTAAAATGTCAAGAGAAAAGGGTATACCTATACTACTTTACAACAAACATAATTACATTTAAAGACTTTCCAAAAATAATATGCAAGGGATTAAAAGCAAAAAATATTATTGTAAGACACTTCTCTTGATAATTTACCTTGATTCTCAACAAATTCGTCACCCTCTTCTGTGAATTTTTTCAAATCAGCAACCTTCTTGTCCACAATCTTTTGACCAATGCTAAACAAGGTGTCTTGCGTTTTACAGAATTTTCTGTAGGACGGCGTTGTCACGAATCTGTAAAGTTGGCTTTCCCATCCTCTATTCAAATATCCAAGGTATTTGAAACCGTCAAAAGTAGCTTGAATGACCTTGATTATATCCTGGTTGGGTGGATCCTCATACAATCCAACCCTTAGATCAAACGCCATTGTTCCCACAGCTAAGACACGAAAAAATAAGAATTGACAAAAGTAGTAAGGAATCAGACAATTAAGACTCGTCACCTTTCTTTCCCAACGCAGCAAATAGCTTGGAGTATTAGCTCAGTGCATGGGTCGATCAGTCAATGATCTATTTAATTTAGAAATTCAACTTCGTGGTTTAAAAAAATACTCTTAACTTATATTCGACCACTGAGTTACACATGACCTTCGGAAACCAGGGCGCGCGGTTTATTGACGCTGGGACAATGGTGGGGTCATTAACCGAAGAAAAGAGTTTGATTATAATTTGAGACCAGCTTGAAATGAAACGAAAGGAAGGCTGACGGGTGTGCTGTTAGCCTTCTGGTCCGTAGGCTTGGGCCTACAAATCTGATCACTACACCCGTATTTTCACAATATGCAATTGAAAAACAATTTGTTGAAGCACAGTGTTCAAGTCCGTCAGATGAATCAGGTCGCAATTTTGAACGTGTCCCGGGATTGACCTGGCAATTACAACTACCCTGTCGTGGTGATAATATCAAGGCTCCTCCAGTGAGGTAAAAACTCTGGGTGCGAGTGCGTCTAGATAAAGAAATGATCGGAACATTGATTGGCCCATCCTGTGTTAATGACAATTTGGATGCTTGCTAAACAAAATACACTTAGAGTTACCAAAAGGTTTAGGACAGAAAAAGAAGCATTTTCGAGGGTGTTTATCCGAAAAAATTCAACAAGAGTATATGCCAAGCCTCTCCGCCCGGATACAGGTGCGCAATTGAATTTAATTACTCCTGCTTACATTCGGTAGCATACTTCGCTAGTTCTCCTTCAAGATTTGGAATGACGTCATCCTCTCCTCGGATTGCCACCATGCGCTCTATAGCATCTCTTGCAACGCTATTAAAGTTGTCCAGATTCTCGCGTATGTCCTTAGGTCGTAGCATCTTGGACGCTAAAGCCTTTCGTAATCGGCTCCACTTCTCGCCATCCGTTCTGCATGACAACAATAAAGAACAAAATCCGAGCTAGTGCTGCCAACTCAACAGCGTTCCTTAAGGAGACATTTGTGACGTCCCTCCCTCAGTGCAGTAGCCGAAGTGAGAATGCGTCAAGACTAAAAGTCTCTCGCAAACTAATCACAAAAAATGTTCAAAACGGATTGAACATTTATAATCGGACTATCCTCGATGCAGATGAATAGCGAATTGAATAGCGATTT